AAAAAAAAAAAAAAAAAAAGAATACTTTAGGAAAACTGGCATCACTCTAACCAAGATGAAAACATGTATCAGGCACAGATACCCTCAAGAAGTCTATTTGGTTGCTGATTTCCTCCTCTCACTTGAAAACCTAAGGAGAAGATGCAGACTTTGGAAGAAAGAAAAAACCTGTATATTTGAGGTCTCAGAAAACTTACCAACTAGCTTGGCTTTGTGTCACAACTATCACTACTTCCAATATAGTATCAGAAGTTTCAAAGAATTTTGAAACCAAAATACATTCAGCTGGAAGGGTGAGAAACTAATGCCAGGAAGGCATCTAATCATCACAAACTTTCAGGGAAAGGTCTTCTAGGCAAAGGTTATTCTTTTCCACTGCCCACTAAAAGGGATGAAGTTCTCTATTCACTACCAAGGATGTGTCAAAAAGAAATGTCTTCTCTAGAAGGAAAAGACTTCCTAAGTTCCTAACCTGGAACCTGAGCCTGAGGCAAGTTCTTCTACCTGTCCTAGGAGATCATCTGAGTTCTCCCACTACCTACTTCACAGCTGTGCAGAAACTACAGTAAAGGCAAGAGGCTACCAAATATGTTTGTTGGTGTGCATATATATATATATATATATATATATACACACACATTCATACACATATATTTGTAAAGGTAGATCACATTAGCTGTAGTTTCCTACTGAATTATTTTAGTTTAGTTCCTTTAGATCCTGTAAAAAGAAAATGATTTAGAACTTTATGATAAATTTATAATTTTAAATACTTTAGTTTTAAATTTAAAAATAAACAAACAGCTGGATCCAAAGTTAACTTCCAAAGGTAAAGGAAAATGACAGTTCATGAGCTTCTATCAGAAAGAAACATCAGCCACAAATTTTTGAGTTATCTAGAAAGAAAATAATTAGATGCCCAGGTACAAGAAATCAAAAGGTCATTACTGCATTCTATATCCGAATGAATGCCCCGCCACCCCAAAAGATTAAGAATATATTGCCAGAGAATACTAGAAAAGAGTATGTAGTATATTAATGAAAAAAGAAAGCATCTATTTACAGAATGGACAAAGGAAAGGCATATCTCCAAACATTTACCTTGGTGAACTACTCTTTCTTGAGGTGGAAGGGATAAGGAAACAGAATAAGTGGATACCATAGATTAAGAATGTTAAGGATAAGGGCAGGGGACACCAGATGAGTAAGAAGGTTGGATTCCTCCGTAAGGCCAGACTTTCAAGATACTACCCCTCGAGAACCTTGGGCGAACCTACTGTTTTACAAGAGGAAAGACTGAAGGTTGTGGAAATTACAATTAAAATACAACTTACAGAAAACGAGAAAGACTTCATGTGGACAAATCCCAGTATGGAGGGAGAGAGTAAAAGTGTGAAAAAATAATATAAAGTATTGATTCAGTAAGATGGACAGAAATACAGAATTGAAAACTGCTAAGGAGAACAAACAGAGGCAACGAGAGCGTACACCACCTACAAGTCAACCAGGAATCACTATACGAACTTTAACAAAGTATAAAAACACAAATGTAACACCTAGATTAGGATAGTAGTGGAAATCTGCACAGAAACTTCAAGACAAGGTAGCATCCTGCGAGAGCTTTACGGGATGTGATGGGGAAATAAGGATGGAGTATGAAGGGGGAGGGACTGCAGCAGGGGAAGAGGGTGGGTTGCAGCAGCAGAACGCGCCTTAAAACGAGAAGGAAGGGAAAGCAACCTAAAGGAGAAAAAGAATAGGATAAAGTCAAGTATGGGGTCACAAGAGAATAGAGTAGGAGAGAGAATGGAGACGAGCATGCCCTAAAAAAGTGGAGAGGTCAAAGACCCAAAAGGGATTGTGGCTTGAGGAAAGTAGGTTCTAGGAGAGCCCTACCATAAACCTGACTAAAAAGTGCGAGTATGTGTAGCAGGCAAGACAGGGGGCCAGAACAGGAATGCACTCAGAGGGGTGCGGTGATGGAGACACTAGATTCAAAGTCGGGGTGTAATACGAAGACTACCGAGCAGAGACAATACAGTGTCAAACACCATGACCTCCCCCCAAAGGCATGCATGGGTCAGAAAAGGAGGCATACTCTTGGAGTATGAATACAGAAAGGAGGGGAGGAAAGGATCACACGGTAGGATGGAAAAATATAGAGGTGCTTAACCACAAGGAGAGGGTAAAGAGGAAAGGAGTGGAGTGGGGAGGGATGAGGTTTCCGGAGGAAAAGTAGGACCCCAGGTCCTGCTTACTTGGTCTAGAGGGCAGAAGGGACAGTCCACAGGGGTAGGAGAGTGATGGAGAACATGAAACTACGATGCTGAAGCTGGAGAACTTGGGGAGGACATGGTACCGGCTGCGTCAGAAAAGGAGACGCCGTCAGTAAGAAGAGGTTCGTTATGAGGAAGGCGAGGGGCAGTGAGGAGCAGAAAGCAGCACGCCAAAGGGGAAGGCAAAGGGGCAGAAAAGAAGCCAACGGAATGAGGGCAGGGGTAAAAGCCCTGGGGGCGCAAGGACATAAACTGGAGACTTCAGGGAGGAAGGTGGGAGTCGCAGAAACCAGGGGATTGGGGGCGCCGGGGAAGGGTAAACCCACAAGAAGGTGCCAGGCAGCCGACGCCTGAATGGGGCGGGGGTCCCGAGGGCCGGCCGGGGGAGTGGGGGAGGTGCGGCCTGAGGGTGACAGGAGAGGAGATGCAGGGACAGGGGGAGGAGGCAGGGGAAGAAAAGGGTAGGCGACCCCGATACTCACACCTCCAGGATGCGGTCCCCCTTGCGCACCCCGGCCCGGTCGGCCGCCCCCCCGGGCAGCACGGCGCTCACATGCTGCAGCGGCGCGTACAGCTCCCCGTTGATGCTCCGCAGCTGCCCGCCCTCGCTCACTTGGCCCCGCACGTTGAAGCCGTAGCCGGACTCGGACTTGACGATGCGCACGACCCGCGGGCCGCCGCCTCCCCCGCCGCCGTTCCCGGCGCAGTGGAATCCAGAACCCCCACCGCCGCCGCCGCCGCCTCCGTTCCTGTGAGGGGCTGAGGGG